TTTAACGACGGAGAACTGGCCACCTACATTCCTCAGTTGTCCCGTGTGCCACCGGATAGTTGGGCGATGTCAGTGTGTACGATCGATGGGCAGAGGAAGAGTTGGGGAGACTCGTTGAAGCCGTTCTGCCTCCAGAGTGTCTCTAAACCGTTCACCTATGCCCTGGTTCATGATGATATTGGACCGGAGGCGTTGCATGCACACGTTGGACAAGAACCTTCTGGACGACTGTTTAATGATATCAGCTTGGATCATAATAGTTAGTTTTTTTGGGTTTGGGACCAAGGGGGCGGAGCTAGGGCGCAGAGAGGGCGGACCCCGGGGCAAAGGGGTGGGGGGATGAAGGAGTGATTTTTTTTTTCGGAAAGTTTGACCGCACTCTCTCCCCAGAGAGGTGGCCACAGCGCCACCTTTCTAAGAAAAATCAATGAGAAAATCTTTCTTGAAATTTGGTTTTCTAGGCCATCATACCAAATTTAGGTGGATTCTGTCCCAAATGACTTCCCGATCATCTTACGCTTTTTAGAACTCAAAAATATTAAGTTTGAACCGAGTTATACTCAGTTTTTTGGGATTGCTCAGAATAAAATTTTTGAGTAACTTGACTGTAACTCGGTTCAAAATCTGAATTTCCACTCGGTTTTTAGACCGATTTGTAGAGAATTCCGAGGCACGTCGTTTCATAAAAATTCAAATCTTGTTATGAAAATTGATTGATGGCCTAACTTTTTCGAAATTTGGTTTTCTAGGCCACCGTTCCAAATTTAGTAGGATCCTGTTCTAAATGGCTTGCTAATCATTTTCCACTTTTTAGAACTCAAAAATATCGAGTTTGAGCCGAGTTATAGTCAATTTTCTGAAATTGCTCAGAATAAAAATTTTCAGTATTTCGACTATAACTCGGCTTAAAATCAAGATTTTCGCTTGATTTTTGCATTGAATCGTAGGAAATTTGAAGACGAATTCAGTCATATAAATTTCGGATCCTGTTATGAAAATTAGTTGGTGGCCTAACTTTCTCGAAATTCGGGTTTCTAGGCCGCCATACCAAATTTAGGTGGATTCTGTCCCAAATGGTTTCCCGATCATTTTCCAGTTTACAGACCTCAAAAATATTGAGTTTGAGCCGAGTCTAAGGACTTTCAAGGCGCATCTAGTCATAAAAAATTCATTACAAAATTACATAACTTGATTGGTGGCCTAACTTTCTCAAAGTTTGGGTTTCTAGGCCACCATATAACTTTCGTAGCTAGAGCGAAATCCAAAAATCCAGAAAAATGTCATGACCCGACCAGGACTATTTTATTGATTTCTAGGTTTCCTGGATGTCGGGAGTTCGGACGGGCATCCGATAGAAGTTCCATTTTTTGAGGTTCACAAGAACAATCGGTCCAGTAAGAATTGACTTTTTCGGAAAATTGAACTCTAAGGGTACCCCCGGGATGACTTCCCAATCATTTTCCACTTTTTAGAACTCAAAAACATTGTATTTGAGCCGAGTTATGCTCAATTTCGTCCAATTGCTCAGAATAAAAATTTTCAGTATTTCCACCATAACTCGGCTCCAAGTCAAGATTTCTGTTTGGCTTTTTGACCGCTTTGTGTAGAATTTCAAGGCGCATCTAGTCATATAAAATTCGAATTCTGTTATGAAAATTTATTCGTGACCTAACTTTCTCAAAATTTGGTTTTCTAGGCCGCCATGTCAAATTTAATTAGATCCTGTCTCAATTGGCTTCCCAATCATTTTCCACACTTCAGAACCCAAAATTATCGAGTTTGAGCCGAGTTATACCCGATTTTATGAAATTGCTCAGAATAAAATTTTCGAGTAATTCGACTATAACTCGGCTTAAAATCAAGATTTTCAATTGATTTTTTGACCGATTGAAAGGGTATTCTGAGACGCAACTAGCCATATAAAATTCGAATTGTGTTAGGAAAATCGGTTGGTGGCCTAACTTTCTCGAAATTTGGTTTTCTAGGCCACCATGTAGTTTTTGTAACAAGGGAAAAACCTAGAAAAATGTCATGATCCGACCAGGACTATTTTATTGATTTCTAGGTTTCCTGGATGTGGGGAGTTCGGACGGACATCCGATAGAAGTTCCATTTTTTGAGGTTCACAAGAACAATCGGTCCAGTAAGAATTGACTCTTTCGGAAAATTGAACTCTAAGGGCGTCCCCGGGATGACTTACCGATCATTTTTCACTTTTCAGAACTCAAAAATATTAATTTTGAGCCAAGTTATGCTAAAATTTGTCGGATTGCTCAGACTAAAAATTTCGAGTAATTTGACTATAACTCGGCTTAAAATCAAGACTTCGGGCTGATTTTTGGACCAACTTGAAGGAGGTTTTAAGGCGCATCTTGCCATGAAATTTTTTGAAATTTCACATGAAAATTTATTGGTGGCCTAACTTTCTCAAAATTAGGTTTTCTAGGCCGCCATACCAAGTTTAAGTTCCAAATGACTTCCCGATCACTTTCCACTTTTCAGAACTCAAAACTATTGATTTTCAGTCGAGTTATGCTCGATTTCGTGGAATTGCTCAGAATAAAAATTTCCAGAACATTTTCAGAAAAACCACACAATCCACTAATCAATGCGGGTGCCATTGTTGTCGCCTCACTTCTCAAGAATCACTCTTCACTGGCGGATCGATTCGATTTTGTGAGTTTAAAGGGGCATGTCAAATTTTTTTTCGGAGGGTCTCACCACGACCGGAGATATTACTGTACCCTTTTTTCTTCCAGATGATCCACGCGTGCCGTAAATTCGTCGGAAGTGGCTACATTGGTTTCAACAACTCGGTGTTCCTTTCGGAACGTGAGACCGCCGATCGCAACTACGCTCTATCGTACTACATGCGTGAGCACAACGTGTTTCCGAAGGATTTGAATCTCCAAGACACTCTTGATCTCTATTTTCAAATATGCTCCATTGAGACGAACTGTGACTCGTTGGCGGTGATGGCTGCCACGTTGGCGAATGGTGGGGTGAATCCGATGAATGGGGAGAGGATTGTTAATAATCGGTGAGGGTTTTTTGGAAAGGGCGGGGGGAGGGGTACTGTAGGGTTACGGTCAGGGCTCTGCGAAAAAAAAAATTCCGAAAAAGTCGAAAAAAATTTTTTTTCGAAAATTTCGGACCGAAAAAAAATCGAAATATTTTTATTCCAATTTTCAGGGCGAAAAATAACTCGAAAAAATGATTTTTCGGGATTTTTCGATTTTTTTTTTCGAATTTTTTTTCAGGAAAAATAAATAAAAAGGATAAAAATATACATCTGAAAAAAACCGAAATTTTTTTTCGGAATATGATCGAAAAAACCGAAAAAAAATTTTTTTGAAAATTTTTCGCACAGCCCTGGTTACGGTAGCTTTCTTAGGGTTACTGTAGCTTTTCTACGGTTACTGTAGTATTTTCGGAATATTGTAGCTTTTTTCGGAATACTGTAGCCTTAGTTACTGTAGTTTTTTTGGGGTTACTGTACCTTCTTTTGAGTTACTGTAGCATTTTTAAGGGTCACTGTAGCTTTATTGGGGTTACTATATCTTCTTTGGGGGTACTGTAGCTTTATTTGGGTTACTGTATCATTTTTAGGGTTACTGTAACTATTCTGGGTTACTGTAGATTTTTCTGGGTTTACTGTAGCTTTTTTGCGGTTACTGTAGCATTTTCGGATTACTGTAGCTTTTCTAGGCGTTACTGTACTTTTTCTAGGGATACTGTAGCTTTTTTGGGGTTATGGTAGCTTTGTTAGGGTTACGGTAGCTTTTTTTGGATTACTGTACCCTACTAATCGTTGTCAATAATCGGTGAGGAATTTTTCGGGGTAGGGACGGGGTACTGTAGGATTACGGTAGCGCGTTTGGAAAAAAAACGTTAGGGTTACTGTACCTTTTTTGGGGTAACTGTAGTTTTTTTCGGGTTACTGTAGCTTTTTTGGGGATTACTGTAATTTTTTCATGGTTACTGTAGCTTTATTTGGGTTACTGTATCTTTTTCTAGGAATACTGTAGCTTTTTTTAGGGGTTACTGTAGGTCTTTGGGCTACTGTAGCTTTCTTGCGGTTACCGTAGCTTCATCGGGGGTTACTGTAGCTTTTTCCGGATTACTATAGCTTTTTTGGATTACTGTAGCTTTTTTCGGGTAACTGTAGTTTTTTTCGGGTTACTGTAGCTTTTTTGGGAGCACTGTATCTTTTAGGGCTTACTGTAGTTTTGTTGGAGTTACTGTACTTTTTTTTTGGGTTTACTGTAGTTTTTCTGGGGTTACTGTACCTTTTTTCAGATTACTGTAGCATTTCTGGGGGTTACTGTAGTTTTTTGAGATTACTGTACCTTTTTTTGAGGGTTACTGTAGATTTCTTTGGAATACTGTAGTTTTTTTCGGGTTACTGTAGCATTTTGGAAACTACTGTAACTTTTTTTGGGTTACTGTAGCTTTTTTGAGCTTACTGTAGCTTTTTAGGGTTACTGTAGCTTTGTCCGGATTACTGTACCTTACAAATCTCAATTTTCCAGTGCCTGCCGTGACACCCTCTCCCTCATGTACTCCTGCGGAATGTACGATTGGTCTGGCCAGTTCGCGTTCCACGTGGGCCTCCCCGCCAAGTCTGGGGTCTCGGGTGACATGATTATTGTGATACCGAATGTGATGGGCATCGCCTTGTACAGTCCACGTCTTGACAAATTGGGTAATACGGTGCGGGGTGTCAAGTTTGCCGAGCAACTCGTTCAGAAGTACAATTTCCATAATTATGATAGTTTGGTGAGCCTTTATTTTGTTGGAAAAGCTTAGAAAAAAAAGTAAAAAAGAATTGACGCCAGTGGGGATTGAACCCGCGATGCAAAATTCGAAAACAACTGCGCTACCCACTAGGCCGCGGGTGCAACACGTGGAAAGAAGGTGGAGGGCGTTATTATCACGATGAGAAAGGGGGGGGGACAAGCGCAGTAATATCAACGCCCTCCACGTCAGTTTTTCTTGTTGAACGCATGGCGCAGCGGATAGCGCAGTTGTATTTGAAATTGAGGTTCCGGGTTCGAACCTCGTCGGGGTCAAATCTTTTTTTCTTTTTCTTTAAGTAATTTTCCATCTTCCAGATCTACTCTGACAACAAGAAAATCGATCCACGCCGCCAACTGAAAGACGATCACGACGGACAGAATCGATTCATGTACGCCACCAAGCTAGGAGATATCGCTGCCATCAAACGATTTATTCTGATGGGACACGACATTCACTGCAAGGACTACGATAATCGAACCGTTTTACACGTGGCAGCCGCTGAGGGAGACGTCGTCACGCTGGAATATGTTCTGAGCAAGTGGCAAGAGGATCCGGATCCACATGATCGTTACGAGAGAACACCGTTGGACGACGCCAAACATTTCAATCACACGGCTTGCATTAAACTGTTGGAGGAGGCGATTACGGTGTTCAATTTGAAGAAACAGGATGATTAGGGATAGAGGATTTGAGTGAGATAGAATAAATAATTTAATTGTTTGTGTTATTTTTACCTTTTGAACTGGACAAATTCCGGAAAAAACCGGGAAAAACAGGAAAAATCCCGAAAAAATCGGGGAAAATCTCCGAAAAAAACCGGGAAAATCCCCAAAAATATCGGTAAAAACCGGGGAAAAACTAAGAAAATCCGGGGAAAAAATCGGGAAAATACTAGGAAAATAATGGTAAAAACCAGGGGAGTCTCGGGAAAATTCCGGGAAAACTCGGAAAAAAACAGGGAAAATCCCGGAAAAAACCGGGGAAACCCGAGAAAATCGCAAGAAAATACCGGGGAAAACACAGAAAAAAACCGGGAAAAAATCCGGAAAATCCAAGAAAATTTCTGGAAAAACCTGGAAAATCTGGGGAAAAAACAGAGAAAATCTCGGGAAAATTCCGGGAAAATTTGGGAAACATCCGGGAAAATCCGGGAGAAAAACTGGGTAAAACCGGGAAATTTCGAGAAAGATCCGGGAAAAATCGGGAAAAACCCGGCAAAATCTCGGGAAATCTCCGGAAAAAGCCCCGGAAAATATCGGGGAATTCCGGGAAAATAACGGGAACAAATCTGGGAAAACTAAGTAAAACCGGGAAAATCTCGGGAAAAATTCCGGAAAATCTCATGAAAAAACCGGGAAAATACTGGGGGTTTTCCCCGGTTTCTGCAGTGTTTCAGCTACCTGTTGACAGATATAATATTCATTAAAAATGTAATTTTATAAAAATATTTAAAAATTTCGAGAGGCACTTTTTGTAATGGGGGAAAACGGGTAGAAAAACTAGACGGAAATGGCATTTCACGACAAATCATGCTGAGCATTTTTAAGGCAAATAAAGGAAAACTGGGGAAGATATAGGGGATAGATGTGTCATGGGATACGGTATACGGAAAGAAGCAAGAGAGAGAGAAAGAGAGAAAAGAGGAGCTAAAATCGAGGGATCCCTGAGAAGAAGAAGTTCCAAAATTTAAAAATTCAATTTCAAAAAACCAAAAAAAAGCGAAAAATTAAGCCCGTGTGGTGGTCAAATGATGATTGGCGTTGTTGTTATTCGACGAGTTTGTGACGCGGATAGTGGAGAGAATTGAGTCCAATCGCTCCACTTTTGTCATCAAATCCTTCACAATTCGATTGATGCAAGCGCCCGCGCCGCCCGTAGACGTGGCACGTTGTTGCTGCTGCTGAAAACTATGAGATTGTTGGCTTGGGCGAAAGCAATTGCGCTCTACAGATTCAAATTCGGATTTCATTTTTCTAGTCTTCAAAATATCTAGTTTGAGCCGGTTTATGCTCAATTTCGTCCTATTGCTCAGAATGAAATTTTAGAGCATTTTGACAATAACTCGGCTTAAAATCAAGGTTTCGACTTGGTTTTTGCACTGATTTGTAGGGAATTTCAAGGCGCATCTAGTTATATAAAATTCAAGGGCTATTATGAAACCTGTTTGGTGGCCTAACTTTCTCGAAACCTGGGTTCTAGGCCACCGTAATAGAAATGACGACGCACCTTTTCCTGAATATTCTTATTATCGTCGATGGAGACCTGATCAATTTTTGTGATGGTTTCCTCCATTCGAACATCGTCATTGTGATGATTCTGATGATGGTGTTGTACGTCTTCCATGTAAACATCGTCGATGCCTGGAAAGTTGATTTTTATGAATGAAAATAAAGTGTTTTGGGTTAGAATTAGTCGAAAATTCTCTCAAAAACGGGAATTCCTAGGAATTGCTCAGAATAAAAATTTATTAGTTTTTAGGCCGCTTGGACGGTAATTTTGGACTGAAAAAAAGTTCAAAAACGGTCTAAATCGACGAAAAACGCCCTACTTGTTGGAATCAAAACAGAGTTTCCCATTCAAAAAATGCTCCGAAATCATGGTGAAAAACTGAGATTGCTCAGAATGAAATGTTTGAATATTCGAGGGTTCCGAGCAAAAAAATTTTTCGAAAAGAAATTTTTTTTTTCGGTTTCAGTCATTTTCCGAAAAAATTCTCGGGAAAAACCAAAAAAAAAAATTTCGAAAAAATTTTTTTTCGATTTTTTTCTGATTTTTTTTTCGCACAGCTTTGGTTTCGAGGCGAATTTGAGCTTTTTTAAAGGTGATTTTAGGCTGAAATTTTCGAAAATCATTCAAAATCAATGAAAAATCTCTAAAAATCAAGGCGAAAAAGTCAATTTTGAGGCGATTTTCTGCTGAAAATCAGGAAAAAACAACCGGAACTAGCTTTTTCTCAGAAAATATTGAAGCAATATAAATACGCCTTTAAAATCGACCTGAAACTCACTCATTCTGAATGCCTCTTTACTAGGTCCAGGGGATGGTTCATCGGGCAGAATCTCTGGATCATTTCTCAACGGCTCCACAATCAAACGTGGTCGTTCTGTCGTCGTTCTGAGTTGCTCCTCCCTCAATCGATGCATTTCCTCAACGGCCACCTGTCTCTCGTAGAGCTCACTCTCCAACATTGCAATCTTTTCAATGGCGCTATCGAGTTTCGTGCCGAGATCCGACGCCAAATACTCTTTATTTCGATCGGACGTCTCCAGAACGTCGTTCCGTTGCTCCAGTTTTCGAATCCGTTCTCTCTGCCGTTCGCATTGCTCTCGGAGCTCTCCGTTCTCTCGTCTCAGTTGCTCTTCCACCTGACACCATTGAGTTCGCGATTCGTCTTGGCGGTCCTGGAAAGAGAGCATGATTTGGGGGGTTTTTTCGGTGGTTTCTGTGGGATTTGGAGTGGGGAAAATGGTGTGATTTGATGTTTTTTTTTAACGGTTTCGGTGGGATTTTCCAAGGGAAAATGCGATTCGGGGGGTTGCATTACGGCAAAAAAGAACCGAAATTTGGGCAATTTCGCCCACAGAATCGAAAATTTGAGTTTAAAAAAATACGCAGAAATTTCAGTGATTTTGGACTGAGAAAACAATATTTTGATAGTCATTATGGAGACAAAAAACCGATGCCGTGTGAAAAATGATCTATTTTGACAGAATAATGACGAATTTTGAGCAAAAAAATGAGCAATTTTGGTTCGAGTTCTGGCGATTTTAACCCGAAAAACGTCGGTTTTCAGCGAAAACTGAGTAATTTCGGGTCAATTTTATGCAATGTTCTGCTTATGGGCACAAAATTTTAGCAAAAATAGTCAATTTTGAGGAAAAAAACATGGGTTTTTGGGTAAAAAAGTCGTGCTTAATAGCTGTTTTGGACCGAAAATAAGCAAAAATTTGAGAAAAAACGCATGTTTAGGGCATTTTTTGGTACCGACAATTATAGAAAAACCTCTGAAAAATTAAAACTGCGCGTTGCCGAGAGTCCGCAAAAACCCAACCTTATTCCTCATCTGCTCTGTCGTCAATTGCTGAATCTTCCCATCCGATCGCTTCAACTGCGCCTTCAAATCATCGAGCTCGGCGTCCATCATCTTCTCGATTTCCGATGAACTCGACTGAAATTCGTTGAACTCCTCACGCATTTGCAGGAAATAGTTGACGAGATCGTGGTGCGGTAGGGCGCGAATTTGATCATCCGACAAATCCATTTTCTGGAAAAAAAAAAGGAAAATTTGCTGGGGTAAACCGAGGGTAAAAGAACCAGCGAGAAAAAAAAAACAAGGAATTTTCAGAAAGTGCGCTCCATCGATAGTTTTTTCTCTGGAATCTATTCGATCAACTTTGAAGTTTTTGGCTGAATTCGGCAAAATCGCTAATTTTTTATCAATAGAGCACAATTTCTGACACCACCCAGAGTGAAAAAAAATGACGTAATACCGCAGCGAAAAAAAAACAACTCTCCGGTCGCCACGTGTATTTGTATGAACGGGCGGGACGGGACGGACAAATGAAGGAGAATAGAGAGTGGGGGGAGAAACTGGTCTCTTCTCCCACCAAATATGATGATGATGACCACAGAAGGGGAAACCAGAAGGAAGCTGTAGTACTAAACCGCACGAATGGATGTTTTTTGAACGGCGCTGGAGGGGAGGAAGTGTTTAGAAGACCTATTCTGAACATGGTCTGGGTTGGAATTGGCAAAATGAATGGTTATTTTCCAGAAAACCGTGGATTCAATTAAGAATTCGAAATTCTATCGGGTATAGAATGATTCAGAGCGTTTTTTGACGGGGTTTGGGGCTTTTTGATCTATTTTCAGGCGAAGAAAAAGGCCAAGTTTGACTCGAAAATGCTCTTTTTGAGCAAACCAACTGAGAATATGGAATTCTTTCGAGTCTACGTGCCAGCCTGAATGCACGAGACCTATAAAAAATTCTGAACATCCTGAGCAGATTTTCATCGTAAAATCAATAATTGGAGCAGTTCTTGGAGGCCCAGGAGCTTCAGAATCGCAATTCTGGCACATTTGAGCCAGAAATTGTTCTAGAAAGGTCGAAATCGTGCTACTTTAGAGGCACAGAGCGAGAGAGAATCATTGTGGAAATTAACTGAAAAAAATAACAATTCACAGCGTAATTTGACAGAATTTGGAAAACTTCGAGCCAATCTGGGCCGAATTTCGTCAAAAACGCGCATTTTCAGGCGAAAAATGACGGATT